TCAACTTAGAGAAAACGGTTGATTCTTCCACAAGCTGACAATTGCCAATAGCGCCACATCTAAGGGTGGGACTCCATGCCTAACTCCCTTTCCTTGCTGGGACTTGGTCTGGCTTGGGTCTTGTGCATGCTGCCCCAAGCACCGTGAGTTCATACAAGCTGCTGCCCTGCTATGTCTAGAGGACAGGGTTTCATTGCAGCCATCCACTGCCCATGGCTTCCATGTTCTTCCTGCTCCATCTTCTACAATGATCTCTGAGCCTTGGGAGGACAGCCTGCGGGATATGTCCCATTTATGGCTCAGTGTTCTGAAGTCTCTTACTCTCCCCACTCAGGTGACATTTTCAATCCTCTACACTTCCATGCAGCAAAGGCATCTGGGTAATGGTGAGCCAACCTGGTGACCAGATGCTGACCATTAAACTTTTTTTTTCACTAAATAGGACCTAAGATATTCAGAGAAAAGGCTAGTCACAGACCCATATCAGGACTGGTAAAAGATAACCCTGGAATATCTTACTAAATTCAAAAGCTGAGGGATTGCATCATAAAAAATGTAGAACTTAGATGGAAGGTACACTAAGTGACTAGGAGCATTCAAGCATCAAGTAGTTAGCTACAACAATGAGTAGCAAAATACCCAAGGGACATTGAAGCCAATGGGATGTGATGGTAAACGAACAGGGGACAGGGGAGAGCCTTGGTTTCAGTGGTGTCCTAAGGATAGATGCTGAATGCTATGGGAAATCATCTCTCGATCACAGTAGAAACTAGATCAGACAAGATGCACACCAAGATATTTGCATTGTCATAAGTTATGTGCCCAGATGGCTAGGAGATGTCTCAGTGGGTAAATACCTGTTGCACAAGTATGAAGGACATGAGTTCAGGTCCTTGGAACCTGTGTGAAGCCAGATATGGTGGCACCCATCTGAAATCTCAGTGTTCCTAAGGTGAGACGAGGGGCAGAGGCAAGAGCATTCCCAGAAGTCCCCGGTCAGCTCACTTGGTATATGCAGCAGGAGAACAGCAGCAGGCTCTGTCTCAAAGAGAGTGGAAACCAAGAACCAAGAGTATCCTGTGACCTCAACATGCACACTGTAGTGTGCATTCCCCCCCACCCGTGCACCACATACAAGAATTTAAAATTATAAAATATGTCCCCAGAGATTGTTTATTATTACATAAAATACAATAATGATCACACAATGAGAAAAAAAATCACACAGCACCTAGATGGAGTGATGAAAAAAAATGAACATCAGCAGTGAGAGACAGGTGACATCCCATTCGCCTGGATGTGAGATCTTGAAAAGAGAATAATATCACCTGTGAAATAGCTCAAAAAACACAGACCAACACAAAATAAAGAGCATTCTGTTCAGAAAAGGGATGGAAGGAGGTTGGATTACTTCAAAAGGGTCAATGTCCCGTAAGATCAAAAACAAAAACAAGGCTGTGGAATGTCCAAGCTCAAGCCTTAGCCCTAAGCTGGCTAATCATGCCTGGGAGAAGGTGAAAATCTGTATTGTTGAGTCAACCTATAGAATTAGAGTACAGGTGGCAGATTTGGTAAAAAGAAATGTATCTATGTCAAGCTTTCTGAAATTGATTACCATAGGATAGTTATATAGAAGAGAATACCTACCGTAGGAGATGCACAAAGAAATTATTTGAGGTGAAGAACCACGGACATGTGCAGCTTTTCCTCAAATGACTCAGAAAAAAATGGTAGACAGATGATAGATATAGATAGCAGATAGACAGACAGATAGATAGACAGACAGACAGACAGATAGATAGATGATAGATGATTGCTAGATAGATGATAGATACATAGATAGGTCATAGAAAGATAGACAGATGATAGATAGACAACAGACAGAAAATTACAGAGAGAGAGAAGATAGAGGATAGATGGGAGATATTGTGATATTTGGTTTTAATATCAACTTGCCACAAATTGGAATTACCTAAGGAATTGTCCTGATTACTTTAATTGATGTGGGAAGAGACACCCCAAATTCTTGAGAGGCCTTCTGGTAGAAGCTCCAATATAAGTCATGGCTGAAAGAAGAGTATTCACCTTTTGCTCTACTGGCCTTCCCTCTTGCCACTGAGTTGATTCCCCCCATCACTGCGGCTCCTGCCTTCACTGATAGCAGAACCAGCATTTCCAGGGTTCCACCTGTGACTGAAGATAAGCAGCTCTCCAGGAAGCCTCCAGGGTTTCAGTGCCAGGTTGGGATGGTGGAGGCACCCAGTCACTCAGACTGCAACTACCAGGTTCTCAGCCCATCAGGGGAGGGGCAACTGTTCTTTCTATTTTAATGTAGCTAATCTAATAAGTGCTTTTTAATATATGTTAAATATATCACACATTGGTATCATATGCTAGCATTAAATATTAATGTACTGCTGTGAATGTTATAATATAAAATATAAATATTTGAACATTCTATCAGTTCTGTTCCCCTAGAGATTCCTCACAAATTGTGCTTCTGGAGAGAGAATTATAAAGATAAATATCTCTAGTGACCTTGATGGTGTCTGGAGGTGGTTTTCCAACTGGATGAAACCTACAGTTACTAAAGACTCTTCTGATAGCATGGAGAGCACTGAAAGTCCATGGTATCAACTATTTATAGAACTTGTCAAGACAAACATAGTTGAGACTCCTGATCCACCTCTTGTGAGGTGTAAGGAATTCATAGGCTCTGTATATAAAACCCTTAATACTACGTGGAAACAAGGAAAATAATGATGCTGGCTGGCGTCTTACAGCACCTGAGGGTAAAGTCACAAAAGAAAAGAAGTGTGCTGAGTGATAAAGTTGACTGGCCCCAGAAGCACATGAACAATGTAAAGGTTTTTAAGAGTGCCCTGGAATAGAATCTTCTCTCCAGCAGTCACAGAGTTCAAGTTGCAGAAAACCAAACTCAAGTCCTCATTACATGATAAGCCGACTTGCAAATTTAGTTCCCAGCCTTGAATAGTGGCAGCTGTTTAAATGAGGCCGCTGATTAGAAAAGAATGCAGTCTATGACTTGGGATAGAGATGTATGGGAGGACCTTGAGGAGATTGAGAGTTGCCAGATTAAGATGGGCTTGTTCACCCATGCACATAGCATCCTCCCCTGACCCCCTGCAGTACTGACCTCTCTGCACTGCCTGGGGGAATTAATCCCATCTCTTTGATAGGGCAGACTACAAATTTCCCTTAAAAAGTCAGACAAGCCCGGTGGTTGTGGTGCACGCCTTTAATCCCAGCACCCAAGGAGCAGAGACAGTCAGATATCTGCGAGTTCCAGGCCAACCTGGTCTACAGAGTGAGTTCCAGGACAGCCAGAGCTACACAAAGAAAACTTGTGTCAAAAACAGAGAGAGAGAGAGAGAGAGAGAGAGAGAGAGAGAGAGAGAGAGAGAGAGAGAGAGAGAGAGAGAGAGAGAGAAGACAATGCAGTGCTAACAACCCTCAGGAACCACCTGTCATTTTCTCTAGATCTATAAGTAGACTGAAGGCCAAGCAAGACACCTAACAGGATTCCTGCACAGTCTTCTGGCTCCTGCCTTGAGGTCCTGCCCAGTTCCTTCCTGGGCTATCACCTGTGAGCTAAACAAACCCTTTCCTCTCCAAGTTGCTTTTGGCCATGAGGGTTATCACAGCAGGTTTTTAGATGACAGAGAGTAGACAGACAGGTGGAAGATAGAGATAGGAGAGTTAAGAGATAGATAGATAGATAGAAGGATAGATGATAGATAGATAGATAGATAGATAGATAGATAGATAGATAGTAGACGGGAAAGGAAGAAAAGGAGGGAAGGGGGGGAAGAAAGGAGGGATGGGGAAAATGGTAAAACATGAGAAAACATTAACAGTAGGCAAACCTTACTAGATGGTTACAGGTGTATTTGTAATTTTACATATATATATATATTTAAAGATATATTTATAGTTTTACTCTTCAGTATTTTCTGTAAGTTTGAAATTCTTTCTACTTTGAAAATTATTCACTTTTACCATAGCAGAATCCTCCAAACATGGACGTGGCCCAGATCTCTGCTGTTCCTTCTACCTCAGATCCTCCTGCTTCATCTTCTCTTCCCATAAGAGCGAGGGTGGAGACCCTCGGAAGGAGCCCAGTCCTCTCTCGGGCACTAGACAAACGACCAGAGAATCTCCTGCTCCGCCCAGATTTGGCAAGCATCTGCCCACAATAAAGGTCCTCAAAGGGAGGCTGTTAACCTAGAATTGTCACGTGTCGCCGGGCACTCCTTACTGCGTTGTCTCCTTCTCTCTCTGCCCTTCTCCTGGCAAGGCCTCCTTTTCTTCCACTCACCACTTGCAAACTTCCGTTGTCACAGTTACGTCACCAGCCCAAGGCTCTGGTGTGAACTCTTACCTTTGCATCTACCTTGCTATGCAGTGACCAGGCCCTATCTCCTACACACCTGAATTAACCATCGCTTCCTTCCGTTCGTGTCTGCACTCAAGCATCCTGCCGCCTGTCCTCACTCACCCTGGCATCCATTCTTTCTCGGTACCGCAGCCCTCAATGTAGACATCCTCACAGCTCATTGTATGGAACTCTGTTTTCTTCTCAGGTTCAGCCAGTTTGCTTGGAGTTTGCTGTTGCTGGAGCTGGAACAAAGCATGTATGCTGTTGCTGGCCTCCCATCATGGCCCAAAGATTTTTATTGCACACATAATTGATCAACTACAGGCCATTCTACAACTGAACAAAATCCCCAGGCTGTCTTCCATTTCCAGAGAGGAGGTGAGTGGAGCTAAGAGTTCTCACCACCTAATCATGTCCTGGATTTCAGTGACCAGTCTCCACTCTGAAACCCTTTTTGGTCTCTCCTTCGTCAGGCGTCTCATTCGCATACCAGAGGCTCCTGTTATCTGCAGAATTACCAGGGCGTAGCTCTGTGCCAGACCACGACTGCACTGATTACTTTTCTGTTGCTGTGATAAAACACCATGACCAAGACGACTTATAGAAGGGAGAGGTTTATTTGAGTTTGTGGTTCCAGAGCCACAAGAGAAGCATGGCGGAAGCAGCAGGCAAGGCAGCTGGAGCCGTAAGGGGAGAGCTCACGTCTAGAACACAGGAAGCGGGGAGCGAGCACTGGGAACGGCAAGAGGCTTTTTTTTTTTTTTTAACCTAAAAGCCCACTCCCAGTGGCATGCCTCCCTCAGCAAGGCCACATCCCTAGACCTCCCCAAACAGTGCCACTGACAGGGAGCCAAGTGTCCAGACACATGAGCCTAGAAGGGGCATTCTCATTCAAGCCACCACAGTGGTTTCTTATCCTAGCTGGTCATAGAGAAATGGCCTCCTCAGCAGGGTGAGATGACCCTTTCCAAAGCTTCCCAATCAAATCTCTCCCCAGAGGACTTTAAAACTGAGGTAACAAGCAAACTGTGGGTCCCACAGATCTGTGTGGATTCCATGTCCTGGCAGGCTTGTTGTGGCCCACGATGCTCTAAAGGCCACCCAGGTGCCACATGACTGGGGAGGACCCAGACAAGGCAGAGGTGACGTTCTACAAAGGGCTGCCCAGTCATCTGAGGTGCAGGAAGATGCAGAGACCTTTGGATACACCCTGAGTAAGGACCAGAACTCAGGGAGCCTGGGTCCAGCTGATAGCTGTCCTATTAGCCACCTCTTATGGGTGGTGTAGACTCCAGCAGAAGTGTCCAGTGGTTCTCCCGTTTCTCTTCCCCTTCTCTCAGCCTGCATCCGCCTTCTCCTTCATCCACTCCCCTGCCTCTTCTCTCTGTGGGGTGTCCTTTTCCATGGGCAAGGTGGCCACAGAGGAGAGGGCAGAGAGGAAAAGCAGGAGTAAGTAACAGCAGCTCCACTCCTTGCTCCTCCACAGAGCACGCGCGCGCACACACACACACCACGCACACACATGCGCACACACACGCACACACACCACGTACATCACATGCACACATATGTGTGTTCACGTACCACACGCACACCACCCACCTCCACAATCCACCCTGGGTCTGCCTCCGGGAAGACTGCTCCCCACCTTAAACACTGCCCGTTATCCCATCCTTCCAGCTCCTCACTCCTCCTCACAACCTAGCTGGAAAAGGAACACAACCCTCCCTTGTCCCCCTCTTGATATTTCCAGTAAAAGTACCTTGAACACAATCTTGCTGCCACAGCCCTAATTATGTGTGAAATCATTTTTTTTTTAGCTTTAAACCAAAGCAAACAAGCACGCACAGAGAAGCCCATTCTCTGAGCCTAGGAGCAGCAGGGCCTGGCTGCTGCCAGGTTACCTCAGGCTACACAGAGACCCAGCTGTTTCACAGGCTGCCTGCCTGCCTGCCCGCCCGCCGAGGTGCCGCCCATGCTGACCAGTGGAGCCGCCCACCCCTCAGAGGAAAGAGGAGCTCTCAGTTTGTCCTATGTCTTCCACACAAGCTTACCTGAGCCTCTCACATGTCCTGTATGATATCAGGCCACAGGAAGGGGACATCTCAGAGGCAGGAGGGGCTTTTCAGGAGCAACCGGGACAGAGAACTTTCCTCACAAGCCAAGAACCTTTTGGAACAAGGCAGACCCTGTGTGTGTGTGTGTGTGTGTGTGTGTGTGTGTGTGTGTGTGTGTGTGTGTGTGTGTGTGTTTTCATTTCTTTAAAACATAAAAAAATCTATCATTTTCTTTTTTTAAAAAAAAAAGTTATGGCGGTGCTTGTGTGAAGTCAGAATACAACTCTTAAGAGGAGACTTTCTCCTTCCATGTGGGTTCAAGAATTGAACTCAGGTCATCAAGGCTGGCAGCAAGTCCCTTCACCCACTGAGCCATCTGGCTGGCTCTCAATGTCCTATTACTTATTATTTAATTTGGAGGGTCTGTGTAACCATCCCCATAACAGTTCATATATGATCACTCTCTTTATTTCCTTGTCTTCCCCTCCCGACATCCTAATGCCCTATCCAGCGACAATGGTGTTAACTATTTCTTAAGGATTCTTTGTATCTATACATCTTTGATAAGGTGATGTTCTGGTGAGCATGTGGAGTTTTTAATATGCATATTTATTTATTTATTTGGCTCTTTGAGACAGGGTTTCATTGTGTAGCTCTGGCTGTTCTGGAACTCACTCTATAGACCAGGCTGACTTTAAACTCACAGGAATCCATCCCCCTCCCCAGAGAACATATGTGGTATTTCCAGGAAGCCTCTCCATTTCTAACTCTTTAATCTAGGCATATTGTGTTTGGAAGATGTAGCCATATTGTTATATGTTTTCCTCAGTGCATATTAGCAGCATATGCTGCCAATATGTCAATCCATTTGCCTGATGATGGGGACCCACTTGTCCCCAACTCCTGTATACCACAAATAATGTAGTAACAAGCATCTGTGTAAGGGTCATGGGTTTACTTGCACAGGGATTGGGTTTGCCGACTTGTGAGATATATGCTCACACTCACATGGTCTTGCTGATGGATTGGTTCCCATGATACCTGTAACTTTCATCAATAGTACCCAAGGTCTGTTTCCTCACCATTAACTGCACTTCGTATTCTCCAACTGTCTGATGATCTTTTAAGTTTAAAATGATGTGACTTTTGTTGTTTTGCTTAATCATGTTGTTTTTTTTCTCATAAGAACTAAGATAAAATATCTCTTCAAAAAGATCTTGCCAGGCAGTAGTGATGCTCACCTTTAATCCCAGCATTTGGAGGTAGAGGCAGGTTTATCTCTGAGTTCGAGGACAACCTGATCCACAGAGTGAGTTCCAGAACAACCAGGCCTACACAAAGAAACCCTGTCTCAGAAAACCAAACGGCTGAGCAAGATGGTGCATGTTTGTAACTCAGCACTTGGGAGGTTGAGATAGGAGGATCCTGAGTTCAAGGCCAGCTTAGGCTATACAGCAAGACCCCGTATCAAGAAATTGAGGCCTATAAACATAGCTCAGTGATAAATCACTTGCCTAAAATCACACCATATGAAGGGCCTGGTTTTATTTCTTAACAGAATGGCAAAAGAAATAATTCTTAGCCAACTGGACATGAGCAAGTATACCTGTAATTTCAACAAGAGCTAAGACAATAGTGATAATTTTTCTCTTCCTTTTCTTATTATTCTGCCTATTATTTATTTTTCTTCTTATTAAATTGGCCACACCCCAAATTCCATATCAATAAACATTTTATTTCTAACTTTGTGTGTATGTATATGGATTGTGTTTGCACATGTTCATACATGAGCATGTGTGTGGCAGTCAATGGTCAACATTACATGTCTTCTATTGCCTCTCCTCCTTATCTGGCGAGACAGAGACTCTCATCTACTGGTTAGGCTGACTGAATGTCCAGCTAGCTCATGGGACCCTCCCATCTCCACCTCCAAGTACTGGGTTATGGACACATATCACAGTGCTCATTTTTACATGGGTGCCAGGGATCCAAATTCAGGCCCTCATCCACGTGCAAGAAGGATTTTATCTATGGAGCAATCATCCCATCCCTTCTGTGTAACCTTAATAGGAATGCCTCTAAACTGTGTCTTTAACTTTGAGGTTTGGGGTAGGTAACTATCATCAAGACAGTTCCCATCTATTCTTAGAAAGAACAAACAGCTGTGCACTTTATCAGGCCATCCCTGAGCTACTGGGTAGGATAGAATTGTCTCTGTGTTCTCTCTTCCTTTTGTTTATTACTAGAATGAATTATACTTACTGTTTTTCTTTTTAGGTTGAACTTTTCTTGCTTTTGTCAGATAAGCTCAAATTCATCGTGATGTTTTATTTTGAAAAAAACTTATACATCTAGAATAGTTCAATTGGTATCTGATTTAGGAATTTTACACCATGAATGAAAAGGGTCTACAATATTTTTCCTTGTGAAATCAAGATTAGGTTACCTTGTTGAGGTAGCACATGCCTATAATCTTAGCACTTGGGAGGTAGGAGACAGGAGGATAATGAATTTAAGACCCACCTGTGCTATATTGTAAGATTGTCTCAAAAACAAACAAACCAAAACATGTAAAATATAACCATCTAAATCAAAGGCTCTATGATGCATTAAAGTCTTTGATTACGATTTTAACTCTTTCTCTTTCTTTTTGCACCAATGTGCTCCAGCAGGCATCCACTGTGCCGCCCACTTACAATGGAGATGAAGAGACTAACAATGCAATGTTTCAGCCTACAGAGAGAAAAAAGAAAAGAAGGTCTGGGAATAGTCCTGGCACCTACTACAGACTAGACCGCGACACATTGCTCGTTCTTGTTTTTATTTCATTCTATTTCTAATCCAACCAATGAGTTTCGCTCGCTTACATTTATTTCGTTGCTAATATAAAGACCTTATTTCAGCCACCTCATTGTTGCTCCCTTACAGAGCTTCTAGCTGCCTCTCTATCCAAGAAATCACACCACACTCTCCCACAATCCCTGTCCCTGGACATAGGTGATAAGTAGTAAACTGCGGGTCTCAGCACAGATCAAAGGCTGTCCCCTGCCCACTGACTAGATCCAAGACTGCCTAAAAATCAAATTTACCATGTTTATTGTATTTTCCATTGTATGGGTCCGATTTTTTTTTTCTCTGCAGCCCTATTTCTCTGTCATGTGTCCTATTTTTTATGCTTCTAGTTGTTTCCCCTAACTTTTTATGAACGGTACTTACCTATTTCATTATTAATTTTTACCCTTGGCACTCACTCACTTCTTGCTGGTCTCTCCATCCCTTCCACATTGCCCCCCCCCCCCGCCCAGCATCATTCCCTCCTTACTTAGGGGGTATCATTTAAAACTGACTCAGAGTGGCTATGTAGAAACCATTTTTCTTCATCATTTATTCAGAATTTCTTTTTAAAGGAATAACAAATCTTCCAAAGTTATTTATGAGTCTTTCCTTCCTATGCCTCACTCATTGCTTCCTGCTTCTACAACCTGATGTTAATGCGGCCCTTGTGAGCGTATATGGTCCACTCTTTGTTTCCATAAACGTTCAGAATTTGCTACAGTGCTCAGTGTTCTGAGACTTCTCTGTCATGTCTGACTTGAGTATTTGTTTTGAGTCATTCTGTCCCATGAACTTTTAAAATACAAGTTGTTCCCCCTTTTTTTCAACGCTATGCATGAAATTCTCAGTAATGATTTCCCCTTTCCCATACGCTCTTTTCTATCTGGAATTCTTATTGCCTAGTGACTGGATTACCGCGCCAGGCAAAACCACCACGGAGCTTGAATATGGTGTGAGGAGGTCGGCAATGCACCGGTAATTCTGTACGTCAAAGAGAGAAGTGCCACGGAGGAAAAACAGGACAAGTGAAAGGGGAACGGAGTTCCAGGTGAGGCTGAAGGCTGGCAAGAAGACATTTCTTAGCAGTGGTGCCAAAGAGTCCGGAAGTGAGGCATGCCATCTGCAGAGGGAGAGAGAGAGGTGCCTGGCCTGTGTGAGGGATGCTGACATGGGGGGGGGGGTGAGCAAGGGGCAGGAGAGCAGCATAGGTGAATCCTAGGAGTCACGATAAGAGATATGGGGAAAGGGACTGCCAGAAAAAGGCTGTCAGAGGACCAGGCACCTGGCTCGGTGGGAAAAGTCATCGGCCTCCTAGCCTGAAGACCTGGGTTTGAACCCCAGCTCCCATATGACGGAAGGTGACTCTCAAAAGTGGTCCTCCGAACTCCACCCCCATGCACCCTAGCATGTGTGCACACACTGGCCACTCACGCACGACTAAATAAATAATGTTTTTTTGGGGGGGTTCTGAACGAGAGAGTGACACAAGAGAAGTTTTCTTTCT